CATGACACACGTTACAGACACAGCCGCATGGGAGATCTTGACAGGTGATAACCTTATCGACTTCTGGGCACTTAGGCAGGGTCGCTCATTTGGGATTCAACAAGATAATTATAAACTTTAATTGTCAGATGGGTTTCCTTTTCAGACTCAGTCACATCATTTCAGAGTCCCGCCTCCCACTGCACAATGTCTCAAAACTGCATCACACATGGGTTAGAGATGACAAGCTATCCATGCAATGAGATCCCACAATGATGTTGTAGAAAAGTAGTTTATGACGTGGAAAGATGCCCAAAACACATTTATGGTTCAGCACCAGAACACAAAGTTACAAAGAGATAGAACCTCACTTTTGTAAAAAAAAAAAAAAAAAAAAAAAAAAATCTTTTAATGGTCTCAAAAAACATACTGCAATGGGGTTATTTTAAAACTGGCTCGATTTTTATTTTTGCTTATTTTCTATCCCTCACATAACATTTTTATAATTTAAAAAATGCTTAATTTAAAAACACAAGTATACAAATGTTTGCACAAACCAAGCTACATTCCAGTTACTGTGGTAGCCCTACAGCAAATTCTCAAAGGACAGTAAATAAACCAAAAAGGAGTTGTACTTAGCACTAGCTTTACTTAATGTGTAAGAATTCCAGTAGTTTCATACAGGAGTAGGTCTACTAGAAGCCACCTAAACAGGGAGAAACACTAAGAAAGCAAAGCCTCTCCAGCAAAACTCAATAGGTAAGTGTGTCAGCAGCGAGTCTTAAAGTTTTTAGCCTCTAACCCAAGTATCGTTTGGACACCCCAATGTTTGGAAGGTCCTATCATCTTTAAAAAATGGAAGTAGCCCTAACCGATTTGGCTCAGTGGATAGAGCGTTGGCCTGGGGACTGAAGGGTCCCAGGTTTGATTCCGGTCAAGGGCATGTACCTGGGTTGCGGGCACATCCCCAGTAGGAGGTGTGCAGGAGGCAGCTGATCGATGTTTCTCTCTCATCGATGTTTCTAACTCTCTATCCCCTCTCCCTTCCTCTCTGTAAAAAAAATCAATAAAATATTTTTTTTAAAAATGGAAATAGAAAGGCTGAGAGGTTAACAGGTAGGAAAACATTTCCACCTTCCAAAGAGGCAAAGTTCTAGTAACTTCGCTCAGTTCGTGAGAATCTGGAAAGGCACAGCCCCCTCAAAGCCCCCAAACCGAGTAGTCCTTAAAGGCAAACCCACCTTTATTATTTTAACCTGAGAAAAGTGTCACCAGGCTGTCATCCAAAGACCCTAATGTTTCTCAATACCTAAACTGTGTCACGAGCTATGCCTGTGTACAGGAACTGAAAAAGACTCCTGACCACAAAATAAAAAGGGCAGAGCACGAAGACCAAGGTGCTGAGCACAAAGATTAAAGTGTTGAGCACAAAGATCAAGGTGATGAGGGCAAAGACCAAGGTGATGAGGGCAAAGATCAAGGTGATGAGGGCACAGTGTGCAAAACAACGTGTGCACAAGGGCCGATTGCGACAGAAGACTAATTACACGGGCCTAAAGGATTTAATCACTCCACACCACAGCCTATACATACAGAAGGCTCCTTCCCCGTCCAGAGACGGTGCCATCAGAGTGTGAGCTCACCCTTCTCCATCCCTTGATCAAAAAAATAGAAGTTTCTGCTCTGCTTTATCAAAGTCAGTTCTTAGTCCACTGGTGCGAATGCCGCTGAGCAGAAGGACCTCAGTTTGGTCCCTGACCCAGAAGGGTTGGTAACAAAAGGTCCCTGAGACCTCCAACCAGGTGGGTGACCCAGATGGCTGGCTGGCAAGCAGTCCAGAGCCATCTATCTGCATGGCCGGCTTGACAGGTCTGTCCTCACCTTTGCCAGATGGCAGGCTGGGCATGTGCTTTATTTGCAAGGCGTTAGGCTTGCAGTGGCTTCTCCCCAGAAGGAGGACAGTCTAGCCACCCATAACTGAAATTCACTATGACCGATAATCCATATAAGGCAGCCCAGATTCTGCAAATGCGGTCAAAGGGAAACTTTCTCATCAAGAGGCCTCATTCGGGGTGATTTATTACTTTGAGTTGGGTATACTGTATTATCTATGAATAATCGCTCATACTGGACAGCATGCAAATTATATAATGCAGTGACTTAGAAATAAAACATTATTTAGCATTTCCTTAAATTGTTTCAAACCCTTGTTAACACTGCCATAAACAGAGTGAAATTGGTGACTTCTGAGAGTTAATTTGGTGCAGTTCAGCAGTCAGCTGGCTATCCAATCTAGCTGAACATTTCACGTGTTCTGTGTAAGCCCCAAAATGCAAGGAACCCTTTAGTCTTTATGCCTTACTTGTCCTGCCTGTGTGCCTGTCACCACCGCCCGAGTACCACAGCCCTCTCACTTGACTGGTAGGTTTGTGATTAAAAGACAGACCTTTAAGATTGGAGAGAGGTCTATTTATAATCTAGATTGCCTAGACATCACCTGCCAAAATTCATAATACATATCTGGAAATGCTACCAGATCAAAACCACAATGAGATCACCTGTTAAAATGGCTATTATCTAAAAGATAAGAGATAAACGCTGTCACGGATATGGAGAAGAGGGAATGCTTGTACACTATGGTGGGAATGTACATTGGTGCAGCCGCTATGGAACACAGTATGGACATTACTCAAGAAATTAAAAACAGCACTACCACAGACAGAATCCCACAATCCCACTTATGGGTATATCAAGGAAACAAAACCATTATCTTGCAGTTATTCACAATACCCAAGGTATAAAAACAACCTGTGCCCGTCAATGGGTAAGTGGATCAAGAAGATGTGGTATATGTACACAACGGAATATTATTCACCCTTAAAAGAGTAGAAGGAAGATCCTGTCTTCTGTGACAAGATAAATGAAACTGGAGGTATTATGCTAAGTGAAATAAGCCATATGGAGAAAGACACATAGTGCATGGCATTACGTAATGTGTCATCTTAAAAAAAATGTTAAAATCACAGAAACAGAGCAGAGAAGTGGTTGCCAGGGGATGGGGGTGGGGGAATAGGGAGAGGTTGGCAAAAGGATCCAAACTCTCCGTTCTAAGATGCATAAGGCCTAAGGATCTAATGCATAATGTGGTGCCTATAGTTGATGCATAGCTGAAATTTGCGAAGACAGAACTTAAATGTATTCACCAAACTAAAATGTAACACACACACAAAACAAAACAAAGCGGGTAAATATGTGAGGTGATGGATGTGTTAATTAACTCACTAAAGCACCCAAAAGAAAGTTTTGGTGGAAAGTATGCGTATTAGGACTGCAAGGATACTGATTTGCCTGCAATCGTCTGTTCAGTTACTTGAATATTAAGATTTTTCAGAAGCAGATAATTGTGCTCGTGTGTACTACACTACACTCAGCTCCTCTGATTAACATCTGAATTAATTGAGAAGTATTTGAATTGTGGGCTAATGAGATACCATAGTAATCAAAACTGTTCCAAAGAACTGAGATATTACTTAACACGATTCCCTTGGAAAAGGAAATTCTGTGGTCAAACAAGTTTGGGATATCAGCTCCCTCCCACAGCCCCCTCCTGGGAAGTCATAACACACCTTAGCATAGTAAGGATTCAGGGAAGGCCTATAATTAAGAAAAGTGTTTAAGTGCACAGATGTGACTCTTTATCTGAACACGTATCTTGTTCAGAAAACACAATTTTGGAAACACTGGCGTAGTCAAAAGACTCCAGAGCAGCCATCAGAAACGCCCAAGGATTACTCACTAGCTGTTTGCTGCCATTTGTACAGGGATCAGGCCACCGAGCCCCCACACCACTGCGCACCAATGAGAAAGTGACATTAAAAACACTTCATCCAGCTCCTTGAGGGCAAGGAACTGGCTCCCGTCCCCCAGCCTGACACACACAAAGTGCTCAGCAGTTACTAAGTTGTTCTCTAGGGAATGTTCCAGGTTGTCTCATCACCCCCCAACCCAGGATGGCTCATTTTGTGGGCCACCCCTTAGAATTCCGGGTCTTTGCAGGCCTCCCATCCTCGGGGCCGCTGGCTGGTGTGGTGTGGCAGGTACCGGGATTTGTAGACAAGCCGCAGGAGGAAGCCCTGCACTTGGAAAAAAACCAGCTGGCGATGCGTTCCCTTGGCCCCAACCTCTGTGCAGAGACACTTCCGCTACTGGGGGTGCAGCCCACAGCAGGGCAAGATGCAGGAGTTCAGGTTCCCACGTCCACATCATGCTCCCCGCTCCCACCGTACCCACGTGGTTCTCGGTGGGGACCCACTGGGCTGGATCAATATTGCATCATCTTAGTGGAAGACAATCCCAACACAAAAAATGTCACAACCCCAAACCAAATAGCATCACAACAAAATCATCATGTCAGTCCAGCTCCTGTTCAACCTCTGAATCCTCATTTCAACAACCAACAATGTTCCCTCAAAAGAACTGTTATTATTATTATTATTATTATTATTATTATTATTATTATTATTTTAGAGAGTGGAAGGGAGTGGGAAAGACAGAGAAACGACAATGTGAGGGAGACACATGTATTGGTTGTCTTGCGCATTCGCCCTAACCCGGGGCTGGGGATGGAGCCTGCAACCAAAGTATGTGCCCTTGACAGGAATTGAAGCCAAGACCCTTCAGTCTGTGGGCCGATGCTCTAACCACTGAGTAACTGGCTGGGGCCAAAGAACTGTTATTTTTAACTTCTTTGGTTCCTCTGCTCACGTCAAAAGCAGCACCCAGAATTTGAGCAACAGGGTCCCGGGGTCAGTGAAATGTAGGACAAGGAATTGGGTTTTCGTACACATTCGCCCAACCTTCACCCAACCACTAAACCACAGGGTCTTTGTTAAGGTCAAAATTATCATGAAACATTATTTACACAGTACACAGTGAGCTCGGTTCTGCAGCTGTTACAAACACGAGCCACAGCTCGAAACAATAAAAATATAAAAAGATAAGGAGCTATTAGCTGTACTCACTGTTCACGTAAACACTAAATGTCACCGAAGAACTGACATCAGAATTGGACACTAGAAACGTGTAAGTGCCGCCTTCGGTCCCTTTCAATCTGGTTAGGTGAAGTTCACTTACATATCTACAAAGAGAGGACAGTCAGTCAGTCACTGTGGACTGCCGCCCCGAGTACATGTCTTTCCTGTGTCTATCTGGGGAGAAACAGCTCACTTAGCTCAGTATTAACAAGATCCACATTAACGAGTACAAACACACACACATATTTAATTTGGGACAAGTGCCTGCTGTGTGAGAATACAGAGGCTTTCTCAGCATAAAGGCAATCCCACAGGCACGGCAGCCTCTCCCGCCTCCTGAGCTGTCCTCATGGCCACCTTCCCACCAATGTCCTAAGCGAGCCTGCCCTGCTTTTGCTTTAAGGAGACTGGCCCGGATAAACCCCAGAGGGGCAGGCTGTCTTCACGCTGTCGCTGCAGGGCCCTAGAGGCAAGGTCAATGCGGTTGCCCTCACCTTCCTTCTTGCAACACCACAATCTCCCAGTGTTCCTCCTACCCCACTTCTTCTGGGCGTCCTTTGCATATTTGCTATTCAAGCTTCTGGTTTTACTGCAGGGCCGCCAGATATGGCTGTGTTGACTGAGCACATAGACTGTTGGGGGAGTCACTGACATAGGCTCCAGTGTAGATGGGGCGCCCTGGCAGGCCTGGACCCACACAACCACCTGGACAGGAGCAGTGGTGTGTTCAGACTCCTCTCACACTGCACATGCTCCCTGGGCAATCCACTCTTGCACTGAACTGCTTGCTGTTTGCTCACTCTCAGACCTTTCCCTCTAGTCCAGACTTCCCTGGCCTATGCCTCCTCTACAGAGTATTTTTATGCCACCATCTCCCCTGCGTAGGTGCAGGTATACGGACCCACACACCTGCAACCTTCTCCCCCGACTTGCCCTTGGGCAGTTAGACACCCTTGAAAATGGACTGCCTTCCATGTCTACAGCCCATGAGTGACTGACCCCGGACAAAAGCCCAGCTCCAGAGCACCCTGGAGCTCCAGTCAAGGGGTGCCTCAGCTTCACCTCACCCACATCCTCTCGTTCCTCCTTTCCCCTCCCACCCTGCTCCCCCTCTCCCTGGTGGGTCTCTGTCTTCCTTAATGAAGCTCTTGCTTAAGAACCCCTGCCCCGGGCTCTGCTTCTAGGGAACCTGACCTAGATACTTCCCACCTGAACATCACCTCTCGATGCCACGGTCAACTGCAAGTTCAAGAAACCCCAACCCCTTAGCCCCCTCATCTCCTTGAATGAGAATGCCTCTCACCCTCCAACCTGGCTGACGGATCCTACAGGGCTTCTTCAGCTCCTTCCTCTCTCTCCTATCCCCTCAATCACCCAGTGTTGGTAAGGAAGTAGCCTGAACACCTCCCAAATCCATCCTCTTCCCTCCAACCCTTAAGCCTTGGGCCAGAACAGCAGCATCTCTCACCCCTTTCTTACAACAGCCAACAGCTCCTGACTCGATAAATACACAAACTCTATCTAGGCACTTACCGCTTACTGGCCCTTTGATCTGAGTCACATTACTTAACCCAGTTTCTTCTTCTCTAGAAATGAGGGAAATAAGAGTGCCTACTCGTAGGTTTGTGAGGACTAAAATTATTGAGTTAACATATGAAAGGTACTTAGAACAGCATAAGATAGAAAAAGGCGCACGCAGCTTACATATAACGTTACTACTGCTGCTATTTCTGTTATAATTGTTTTGAGAATCAAACGAGAGATATGATGTAAAAGAGCTCAGGTTCACTGCCCAGCCCAGAGCTACTCAATGATTCTTAGTTTCTTATAGTTTAAAAAAAAAAAATGATTAAAGGTGCTAACTTTCCCCTTTCTCTGAAGTGGGTCCCGTACATAGAAGTTGCTGCTTTGAAGCATCCTCAGAACTCCTGAGAAGAACAATGCTCTGTTTTACAAATGAGAAAACTGAGGGACGGGCTTTTTTCTGTGCTCTAAACACAGGGCAAAACGAAATGTTGGGATGAAGACTTCAGGAAGCACCCCGGACGTTCCTTCTTTGCCAGATGGCCTGTCATACATTCCTGGGTCACAGTAATGGGACCTGGTAAGCCAGTGGAAGAGGGGAAATGGAAATCCCCAGAGCAAGGCCCCTTTCTCACCTGATATTGCTTTCATTCTCAGACTTGGGATAATTCTCCCATTTATCAGTGAAGGTCTTGTTCATATATATCCACTGTTGGTGTTCAGGTTTCGGGTATGCCTCGTATTCAACAGTCAGATCTACGTTTTCTCCATCGTTTACAAATATTGTAGTATTCGCCACAGGGATGATATTAATGAATCCTTTATCTAATCGTAATGAAATAAAACAGAAAGAAACCGTTATCTACAACTACCCAACAAAAAACACAACTTCGTCCTTGGATTACAAACATAACTATAACTGACTGATTTCCAACATGAACTGGCAATAACAAGTAAGAGGGCTTAAACTAGCCATTTGACATTTACTTTGCTCTTGTAGAATCACTGTCATGAAGGAAGAAAGGACACACATGTGAAATGTTTATTCACCCGTCTCTACCTCTTCAGCAATTCTCTTATTTCAAGACCTATCACCATCTTATAAATCTTCTAGTACTAGTCTTTGATGCGTGTTAGGTTAAAAAGTATTTATAGGACTAAATATAGCCCATACCCAGACTCAATATAAGTGTTTATTTGATAAGAAGGTGACATAAATCAAGAAGGCACAGACAGCCTCAATGCTCAATAAAAAAAAAAATGCTGCATTTGAAAAATAAGCTCTGGTCATCTCATCTATCCTATATTACAGATGAACCAAGGACAGCATCTTAACAAACCATGTTTTTAACTAAACAACAGAACTGACTCCCATCAAACATCTACAGGGTGGGGTGGGGGCAGTATTCTCAGTTTTTTAGAAGCAACAGAAGAAAAAAATCGTAAAAGACAAATCTGAATACATAAACATTTTTAAATGTCTATATAGTAAAATGAATTAAGGTAACAGGAAAAAGAGAACATAAAAATGTAGAAGGAAAAACATTTAAATTAGTAATTAAGATAATGAATCACTTTCACTTATTACAAATAGCAAAACTGCAATAAAGCTGCTTCAAAAAATAAAGTATATCCATCCTATTGAAAGAAAAATAGCAAAACTAATTTGAAATAAATAATTTTGCAAGTGTGGGAAAAGTGACAGACTGGATGACACACTGTGAACTGACACAACTCTTAGAAAGCACTTAGCAATGTAGATTTTTAAAAAATTATTCTTCAATTTAACCCTGCAGTTTCCATTTGAGAGTTCTTCTTAGTGAGGTGAATGGCTACATACAAAAGAAGTGCTATTTACATTAGTTATAATAATTTAAAAAATAAGAAACTGGTTAAATAAAATAGCCCTTAGATATACCTATGTAATAGTAATATTAGAAGAGCTTGAAAAATAACACAATAAAATAATTGCCAATATTATTTTTTATAGCTACCATTTATAGGATACTTACTATGTACCAAGAACTGCCTTAAGTACTTTAGCACACATTTTATTTAATAATTATAACAAATATCTAATCTTACAATACTAAAAGAGAAAGCTTACAACCCCTAATTGATAGATGGAAAAAATCAAGTCCTGGAAAGCCATACGGCTAGCTATCCAATGAGAGAGCCCACATTTGAATACAGGTCTACGAGAAGCTAAGGCTGACCTCTTCTTACTCTAGCATACCCTAGGGCAGTGGTCGGCAAACTCATTAGTCACAGAGCCAAATATCAACAGTACAATGATTGAAAGTTCTTTTGAGAGCCAAATTTTTTTAACTTAAACTATATAGGTAGGTACACTGTTATTAACTTAATTAGGGCACTCCTAAGGCTTAGGAAGAGCCACACTCAAGGGGCCAAAGAGCCACAGTTTGCCGGCCACGGCCCTAGAGTGTCTACTTTCATTGAGAAAGAGAGTAAGAGAGAAAGAGAATGAGAGAGGGAGACAGAATGAGTTATATGTATAAATAACACCATGTTGTATACAAAAATATAAATATAACAAATCTTAACGGTTATATCAAGTCAGTGGAATTATGAAAGAATTTTTAATTTTCTGATTGTTTTCAAAAATTAATTATGGAATTTTATCATTATTTTTGGTGCTATTTGGTTAAATATTTTGAAGTCCCACATGACATGGCCAAAATAGTATCTAGTGCACTTTAGTTTCTACAGATTCAGAATAAAAAATAGAGTCCAACTGTTCTATGTACCAATTGAAAAAGGATTTTTCAGGTGAGAATGGAAAATCATCTGAATGAATTTGGCTATGCAAAGCATCACCTTTTTCTAATTCCTGAATCATAAATGATATCCTCTGCCATTCTTTCAGCTAATTTAGGTTAATTTTGAAGGAATAAATATTTCCTCTGATTGCTACACTACATTTTCAGGTTTTCAAGGTTATAAATTCAAACCACACAATGGAAAAAAATATTCAAACTTTATAGACAATATCGCACAAAAGTATCTCTCACAATCATTATGTATAAAATACTTGTCTTGAAATCCCCTCCAAGTTTTTCTATAGTCTGGTTTGCTCAATATAGTTTTATGTCCTATTTTGGAATAGAGCTGGAAATTCATGAAGTGTAAGAATTATTAGAATCAAAGAACTCCACCTGGGTTGTTATAACATAAAAGTATGATTTTTTTTCAAGTACACCTACATTAAGAAACTGATAATGCATTAATATTTAATTAAGAGCAAACACTGTGCCAGGTACTTCTGTAAAACCTACTGCCTCTTCTCCTCCCCACAGCTTGGGATTTATACCTGTGTTTCTCAGAAGAGACAATACAGGCAGAGGGAAAGTAGGGTACATTAGAAAGTTAAGTGGCAGAGCCCCAACTCAAAACCAAGTTTGGACCATCACATAGCCCTGTTCTCTCTACCACTCCACATTGTATTCCAAATCCTATTCTACTCCAGCCCCGGGAGAAATTCCTTTTCTCTTTGTCTCTTCCTGTTCTTGTCCCACCCGAACCCACTCCAAAACCAGATTCATATTTCTCAGCCACAAGTCTTTCCAGTTATACAGTTATATTCTTGGAAATTGATGAATGGATTTTTAAAAATCTGATTACATACAACAATATGCTCAAAACATCCTTACTAATTGCTTTCTGGGGCTGAAGCTGATATATCAACATGCTCCCTAATCAACTTAGCAAATTAGCACTTACTGAGTTTAATATTTTAAAAGCATAGCCTTCTATTCAAATTAATAAATGGTTCACAATCACACTCAGGGACAGAGTAGTGCTCTTTCTCTGTGCCGACTCTATATAATCGCAACCCAAGTGTCTTTTCCATGTTCAGTCTGTTCAATTACAACATGGGCAGAATATACCAAAATTATATGAGATCCTCGTGGGACAAATCACAGGCCTCTACCATTGCTACATAAGTTATTGAAGAAATATGGGGAGAAAGGAAAAAATGAAAACAGATATGGCATCGTTTTATTATTGCTGGATGAAGAATTTCTCCACCCTACAAGTACTTCATCAAAGTCAAGCACTAAAAAAAGGTTGCATTAAAAAGACAAGAAAATAGATTAAATTCAAACAATACTCAAAAGACAAAAAATGTGTAAACGAGGTAATTTTACAATCATTATTATTTTCCATAAATCAAAACATCAAATACTTCACTACACTCTGTTCTCTTTAAGCAGATGCTTGGAAAAATACATATTTAGTGAGATTTCTAGAGTAGGGGAGAAAAGGCTAAACCAATGTGTGTATCAGATATGATGGGGTTAGGGGAACGGGTTACCATGTTCCAGTTTATGCTCTGTAGAACCAGTGACCCATGTCCCTGTGACCTCCTTTCTGAGGGTTCATGCAACAGCCTCTAAGGATGAAGAATAGGGTGAGGTGGGGTGAGGTGAGGTGAGGTGAGGTGAGGTGAGGTGAGGTGAGGTGAGGTAGGGTCGGGTGGGGTGGGAAGGAGAAGCCCAATTCATCCCTTCCTGCTACAAATGAGGTAGAGCCATGGTCAGCAAACTGCGGCTCGCGAGCCACATGCGGCTCTTTGGCCCCTTGAGTGTGGCTCTTCCTAAGCTTTAGGAGTGCCCTAATTAAGTTAATAACAATGTACCTACCTACATAGTTTAAGTTTAAAAAATTTGGCTCTCAAAAGAAATTTCAATCGTTGTGCTGTTGATATTTGGCTCTGTTGACTAATGAGTTTGCCGACCACTGAGCTAGAGCCATGAGTGATAAAACAATAAACCAAAAGGCTGAGGAGCCCTACCAAAAGATTCTGAGAAAAAAACTTTAAGCATTTTCATTCCTCAACAGAGAAATTCTACATCCATTTCCAAACTCAAGTCATTCAGCAAGGACGAGAATTTTTGAAAAAGCTCAGCTTATACTTTATTTGTTTTGGGGGGTAGGGGTGGGAAGCACAGAGAATGAAAGGTTTGAACAACTTCAGTTACAGCTTTCCACTTCCCTCTACTAAACAGGTAGAATTTGCTTTTGTGCTCTAGTTGGAAGAGGCTACCATGATCATTTTCATTCATTCATCATTCATTCATTCAGTAATGATAAGAATTTCTAAGAATCTGTTCAACATTCCATTTACATAAAAAGGAAATCAGTAATTTCTTCTTTCACTACTGCCAGTAATTTATACATTCCCATAGAGATACTCACCTACTACTTCCAAAGTTGTTGTGACATTTGCTGATCCAAAAGTATTATTGGCGTAACACATGAACACTCCAGAATCATTCACTCTTGCCGAGCTGATAGTCAGCCTATCCTGACGTACAAAATTGAAGTCACCTTGATGCCAGCTATTGCTCTTTACCTGTGCTTTAGTCTGCTGGTTTCAGAAGGAGAGAAAAAAAATCAAAGATTACCATAAACTTTATATTCAGGATCTCTCCTAGATAAATTAAAAATAGCAGCAATTAACTTCTCCATATTAGCATTCATTATACACTACTTAAGTAAGAATAATAAAGCATCATGACAAGTCTGTCATTGGAACACTTCATATTACAGGATTATATTGAGAGAGAGTCATTATTAATGATTGGGAAAAACATGAAAATTCATTTCTTAATAACCACAGCCTACATCATTCCAAATTCTCTGCAGTGCTAAATATTTTTAACAGTGCCAAATCTTAGAAGTCACTGTATAAGAAATACTGCAGAATACTGATATTGTATATTGACTCAGCATACTTACATCGATATTTCCTATTATGTATTTTTATTCTATATTCCAGTGATTGAAAGAAACAGATTGCTAATAAAAATAACATTCTGTTTTATTAGCGTGTATATTATGTTCATGCATAAAAAGAGAACCACAATGTCTACCACTAACTTGAAAATTCACCCTACAATTTTTACCAAGCAGAATTTTGGCAACTCTCATCAAAGGGAGATCTGAGGTATGTAATACACATAAGACCAAGCCCCAACTTATTTAAGCATGAACTGAAGAGAAAATGTGAATTTACCCTTGTGTTATCACCATCCCACTCTTACTATTTGTCTGAAGACAAGACATGGGGAGATTTCTTGTGCGGGAAATGTCGTGGGAAAAAACAAACTATAGTCATTCTCTGAAAAGATTAAAAGGAGCAGCATATAGCTTTCTGCCTTCCCAAATTTCCTGAAATGTGACACATTCCTATTACAATGGAAAAAATAACAACAACTAAAATAGAAAGTAAATAGGAGCTGATATTGACATGGAAGGAGATCAAGGGTGATTCGCTGGCCACGCCCCAGTGAAGCGCTCAGCGTCTGACCATTCTGACAGTCCTGTAAATCAGAACGACTCGCTGGCAAGCAACTTGGCAGCATGTTCATAGCCCTGATCACTCCAGCAAATTAATCTGAACGAAATAACTGAACAAAAACCAAAAGCTCCAAGATGTTTACTATAGTAAAAACTCAGATGAACTAAATGTATACCAGGCATAAAAGTTATGAATATGTGAAAACAAGAAAATGTTTCCATTACTTAAAAAACACAAATTGAGTGTAACTTAAAACTGCAACCATATGATAATACATATGTGTGGGGACAGAACGAGAGTATGAAAAATGCAGGCAATATAGCATTTTATAAGAACTAGCCAATTTGGAATACTGGACACTTCAAAAGAAACCATCCAAATTGAGTTGTGTCTAAAATATAAAATATGTTGAAGCCAATATGAAAAAAAATAATGTAAAATAGCCCACTAGTAATTTTATGTTAATAACATGATAAAAACATTTTCAATATATTGGGTCTAATAAAGCATATTATTAAAATCATTAATTTTACTTCTTTACTCTTTGTCATGTGCCTCCTAGAAAATTTAAAATTACACCGGAGGCTCCCCTTGTATTTCCATGGCACAGCACTAGTATAGACAATGTGGCATTATACCTATTTCTGTTTCTCATACTAGGGTCGTTCTGGAAAGCTTTTTACATTAAAATAAGCACACATAAATGCTGACTGCCAACGTTGAATGTTTTGAGTAACAAGAAGAGAAACCTTTTTGTTAACTAATTGTGAGATCCCGGACAAGTCAGGAATAGCACCAGTCCTTTGTTTCTGAAAGGGACTGAGGGAACAAGGGTTTTTAAAGGCCTCTCCAGTTAGGAGCACTGTGTAGATTTAAAAATACTCCCTTCTAAGAGATTCTTCTGGTAATTAATTGGCAGACATCTGCCACTTCACTGCGTAAGATCAGTTGTTAAGAAAATGCAATAGCAAGGTGAAGTGACATTTTCTCTAACCTTTCCCTGTCCATCATGTCACAGTCTTCTCCTCTGCAAAGGCAGAGTGACAATGGGCAGATAATATACCATGTTCCTGATTTCAGGTATCTTCCCTGTAGTTCTTACAAGAGCCCAAGAGTCTGCCTTTGGGAGCTACAGAGGGACACTGAACATGTGAGTGCCAGAAGGAGTGACTTGGACATAAAAGATGCAATGTCAACACATACCCAAAGAATGATCTTCGACAGTATCCATAATTGTGGATACTGTCAAAGATCATCATCAAAAGCAAGTAAAAATATAAGGATTTATAAACATTAGAAAAGCTAACCAAGATTTACAAGTGCTGACTAAACCTCAGAGTCTCTCACATTTTAAAACAAAACAACTGCAAAAACTCTAAAACAGTTTACCCTAAATTTCATTGCAAGCTAAACGTACTCTAAATGGTTAATCAAATACTATAGATTTTAAAGAAAATCTGATAGCGCCAACAGTGCTAAGTATTCCAAATTAAGCCAAAGGATATCAATAAAAGATTCATAGATGAACCTTGGCACAGAGCCATGAGCCCCATCTGCAAGTCACACATTACATATTGCTTGCACGTGATTTGGTTTTCCTTAACCCTTGGAGGTGCGCACACTGGGATTTCCCCAAAGAGCTCCCAACACTGAAGGCTTATCTGCCAGTGCCAGTGGATTAATTGGGAATGGCATGCAGGGCCTCTGGGAAAAATGGTTCAGAGCAAAACCGCCTGGGGCGATTTAATTTCTCCTCTCAAAAAGGCTAATTTTCAAGTTATGTTGAAGCTCAAATACACACACAGTCTAAACTGTTCTCTCATCTGAAATCAAGAATTATAAAAACCCAATTAATATAGGATTGTGTTCAGGAAGGTTAGTCGAAAGTCCATACATAAGCTATTGTTTTTATTAAATTACATGATATGGAAACTAAAACTTATTTCTCTGAGCCATTGGTTTGAAAGAACAAGTCCACAGGACAATCCATTCTTCTAGTCCATGGCAGGCTTCATTTAGCAAGGTACCATCCATCACAGGTCCACATGAATACCATCATGATGCTTTGCATTATGCTAATCACCATGGTTACTTGTTTAGCAAAGAATTCTTTTAAAAGGCATAAAATTGCCATTGTTGAATACAGGGCATGATGAGGAAAAGGAGAAACATATAGCCTTTCTTTTTTCCAATATGATGCATACATGGGTACTGGAAAAAAAATCACTGTGACAACTAACTACCTAGACGGCCAAGATTATTCAAACAAAAATGACTGAAAACTCGGTCAATGAAAACTGTAAACAAAATATTAAGGAAATTAGACATTTTAAAGACCCTGCTGTTAATAGGAGTATTTAGGGGGGGGGGGACTTCAAATATAACTGGCTAAAATTTATTTTAAGTTATACCTAACATAGTAATCTGACATATAGTAGACATTCAATATGCATTTGTTAAATGAATGAGAACTTAAACCTGTCCAAATGTTTCAGATTAAAGATAACCATTTTATTAATAGCAACTAAAACAAATAGAAAACCATTAGCAACTTGATCTCAGGTAACCAGCCTCAAAGGAGGCAATCAGAGCCATACAAAAAGAAACCCATCTCTCAAATGGATGAGCCACTTTGCGAGGGAGAGAAGAGCTTCCTGGTAAATATCTGAGACGAATTATTCTTTTTAAATATGGAAGGGGAAAAAACTGGCAACTCTTCCCAATGTTTTAAATAATCTGGCCTGAAGAGTATATCAATCACAGCCTTGAAAATCAAGGTATTTATGCAGTTAACCATTAGTTTTGTGTGTTTTTTACTTTCCCTAACTAAAGTTATTCAAAGACACAGCATGAAGCAATAACATAATCCTGAAGTTATCTTGTAGATGATCTAAAACAAATGTACAAAATGACATGTACTTTTTACCAATAATAAATGCACACAGCCACATATGGTGTTATGAAAGGGGAAGATATGCATCTGCACACACTCCCAGACAGTCCCCGCCTCAGACAGACACGCCAGCTGAGCCATCCCCCAGGACAATTAATAGACTTTAAAAAAAAACGTGAAACTCTCCCACATGCAGAGAATGATATAGTAAGAAAAATGAAGGGAACAATTCGCTCACCTGGCTGTTTTCCTTTATCCACATTGAGTCCACGGAACTAGACACATCCTTTATGGAGCAGGTCACTGTGAATTCCTCCCCTTCCCTAAGAAGATAGCTGGATTTGGACACTGTCACAACTGGTACAGCTCTGATGGCTAGAATGAAAAGAGACGTGGCCCTCAAATAATGCGCCCTATCAGAGCATGGAATTTTCACTTGCCATTTTTCCTCAAATGCACACAGCTTCTTTTGGCATCTTTGAAGTAAAAATATGAAGTATGGTGCTAACAGATCTGTATTACTTGCATATCTAAAGACATCAACAATGTAACCACGCATCATCCTTCATTTATATTGAGTGGGGAAAACAGAAGTGTCTACTCTGAGATCATACCGCTCCTGGTCAATATTACTTCGAAACAGGTAGAAGCCCAGGCGAGGTGACACAGCTTTCATCTTCATCTCACACAACCCTGACAGTTTCGTGAGGATGTGACCTACAACTAATTATATTCTTCTAACCAAACAGGCATCTTTCCCATGTGTTGTAAAAATGGTATCTTGCTCGTTTGTGAAAATCCCAGGTCTTAAATAATCAAATTTTCCCTTAATCCCACGGTGAGCATACTTTTTCAAAAGCCTTAATAAAAACTATTCAATAGCTGATTGCCAACTGGTGTTGAGTAAGACGGCCTCTGAAATACAAAAATCTAGATACCTACCTGCAACCAAAATAATGTCACAATGAGAATGAGGTCCATAGTTAGTTGGTACTTTCCTCCTCGGATTAGGAATGGTTTGAGAATGCATTAACGTTAAATAGCTGAGGAGAAAGCTGGCCCATATATCAATAGCAAAGAAGGGAGTGAAAAATGTGTACGCTAATCTTTTCAAACAGTGTAACTAAAGCTTCCCAGTGGGTTTCTCCTGGAAAGAACACTTCACGCAATTTTGAAATTGGCATGTCCTAAAGTCAATAGGTTTTATGACTGTCCCCAGTATGGTCTAAATGCCAATCTCTGGGAGACACACCCAGCTGGAGGCAGTCATGGGCTGGTCCCCTGGGGAATAAAGAATTCACAAGCCGCTGACATTATTTCAAGTTGGGGGAATTAAAGAGCCAGCTGCCCAACTGACTATGCCAAGATGGACCACTGAGAAGAGAGAAGTCCTCTTTCGATCAACGGGTGCTCCGGCACCCAGAAGGAAGTCATCAAGGGCCCGTACCTGCCCTCACTTTCAGGGTGAATTTCTTCGACAGCACTGACTTGCCCTTCCTGTCCGCAGAGCAGTGCAAGCAGAGCCGGTGGTACTCGCGCTTCACGTTTCTGATGGTGATGCCAGCCTTGGGATCAGCGACGAACGTCAAGTCCTTGGGAAGAGGTTTCCCCTCGCAGCCCGTGAGGGAGTAATTGGTCACGTCCGGGTCAGTCAGAGGGCAGCGGACCAGCGTGTCATTGCCTTCTTTCCCATACAGGGACAGGCCCATAAGGAAAAGCTTTGCAGGATCTGTGACATATAAAAAAAATCAGTGAATCTGGTCACAGGCACCAAAAAACACTTTTCAAAGATCGAAAACATTACCTTTCCTAACAACCATTCCCAGTGGATCAAAGGCTGCTGAATTTTTTTCTTTGCAGGCAAAAGTAGGATTTACCCAAATAACACTAACAAGTAAGAGTTAATGTTTATTAAACACTTTCCATGTGTAGGACACTAAGCTTGGACCATTACACACCATATATTTCATTTAATTCTCAAAATACCCCTATGTGATGGGCACTATGATTATCCCCCTTTTATAGATGAAGAAACTGAAGGCTCAAAAAAGTGATTCTCCTAAAATATTGTGGCCTGGAAATGGCTGGGCAGAAGTCAAACCCAGCTCTGACCGAGACCAAAATGTGTGCGCTCATATTTTATCATAACCATCACTCTTTCTCTGTAAGCTGTCTGTTAACACCCATTAGGGTCAGGGGAAGGTGTCCTTCCTCTAACCCCTCTGGCAGGGCCCTTTCCAGAGTTCCCAGTCTCCAGGATCTTTTGGCTTCTGAATAGAATCTAGAAAACTATCAGCCGACCACCCCAGTACAAATAACATGGGGGCCTCACTCTATTCAAACTCCTTAAAAGTTAAGTATAACTTTTGGAAATAAAATAATTTCAAACACACAAGGGGAGTTTATGAGTTTCAGGAATACTGTAGCAACTACTTTATTGTCTAAATCAGAACCCTTATGAGTGAAAGGGGGTCGGATGGACTGGGAAAGCCTCAGGCAGACTGGGACCCCATATAACCAAAGACAAACCTCATTCTGTATCCACCATATGCTGCCACCGTTTACAGGTAATATAGATACACAGTCGGGCCAACAGATTTGTGTTTTATTATCTTTCCAATCTGGAAATTAGATGGTCCACAAAAATCAATTTAATATAACTGAAATATACGTCTTACCATTTAATTTTGACCAATTTTGAAAAAGAGTTTTCTAAGATGAATTATGTAGCTCTCAGCCTTTCACTTATTTTGTGAATAAATTACTTCATGGTGGGTGAACAATGGTCTAAGGCCAGTGTTGGTCATTTTTCCATCTACTCTTTCTCAGCTGCTTGAGTCTGGCCCTTACAACAATGCCCCGATTTTCTACATTGCTGTAACCTCAATTATGTAAGTATCCAAACTTCTTAAGTCAGTAATAATTAAGTCTAGTTCTAAGTTATGGAGGACAACTTCCCCTGTACAGAAAATTGGTGAGTTCTGTGAGACTGATTTGACTAATTCAGCAGTTTTCCCCTTTTCGTGAGTTGTCTACCCATCCTATTAATAAGCAGAATGCTTATTACCACCTGGAAAACACAGAGAACCTCTGTCAAAGAACAGGGCACAGGTTGGCTCAACAGCTATGGAGCTGTGTCCAGAGGCCGAGCTGTGGCCTATCAATGTGGACTCCTTTCAGCCACCCAAGTAGGAAAGACAACATACAAACTAAGGGGAGGCAGAGTCAATTTCATGGCACCCTTTATGGCGACCATGTGAGTCATCTTATTTAACCCTGATAAAGCTAGAATGTGCACGATTCTGTCTCCCTAATGACAATTAGGTAAAGAAGACAGAGTAGGTCAATGGTCGGCAAACTCATTAGTCCACAGAGCCAAATATCAACAGTACAACGATTGAAATTTCTTTTGAGAGCCAAATTTTTTAAACTTAAACTATATAGGTAGGTACATTGTTATTAACTTAATTAGGGTACCCCTAAGCTGGCCTTTGCTAAAAACGTCCTCAATCTGATTGAGGTACAGTTCGCTGAGGTCGACCCCTTCCAACTCTCCCATCCACACTCGTCTTGTATACTTGTTTCGCCCAGGCCGAAAACCGACTTCTGCGCCTGGGCCACGAAGTTTCGACCGCACTGTATGTGCGCGCCCGCACGTGGTATTTTGTGGAAGAGCCACGCTCAAGGGGCCCAAGAGCCGCATGTGGCTCGCGAGCCGCGGTTTGCCGACCACTGGAGTAGGTGATCTTATTAAACGTTGCAGGGAGGAACCGAGACTCTTGAGGTTGCTCAGGTTTATGATTTGGGATAAATGTATTCATTATTCTTCCACGATATCATGGATGAGGCCCCCTCCTCGGGCCCGTTTCAATGATAGCCCCACTCCAGGTACAGCCCAGGACTAGAAGTGGGCCTGTATGACTCTTTATAACCTGGCTGTCTCTCTTAAGCTTCAAGTGCTGCAGTTTTTACATCAACACAAAAAGGTACTCACCTCCCACCCCCACTCCCGCCCCCACCCCCGCAAACCTCCTCTTGACAAAGACACACAGCTGAATCACTGACTTCATCACAGGAAATGAGTTACAGAAAACCCATGAACATATTTTTCTTTTGTTTCTAAGAGATCACCATTTTTCAAATGAATCAACTGACATCTATTAAGAACCGAGGAAGGACATGGGGTGCTGTGCTGACTGAGTTATTTTTCTGAGTTTATCCCTTAAAAGTGGGTCAGTTCTCTTCAAGGGTTGGTCTTGTGGAGGCCTTTGGAGACCTTTAGTTCCCCGAAGCGTTTTTTACTAAGTGGGAGTATCTGAGATCTCAAGGCATTAAAATGCAGCCTTCCCAAAGGGCCTAATTTATTCTCAGGGTTTACCCAGAGCACCAGGACAAACGGGCTGACCATACTGTAATCTCATTAGGAAGAGCGTCACAGCCTTGCAGACCTCCAGCTGGAATCATATCCAAAGCCACTAGGTATCAAAAGATGGAGAAACTAGCAAAGAAAAATTTGGTTTAGGCTTCCTCGATCCAGCCAGCAATGTTTTACCCACAGCTTAGTCATCGATATGTCATCCATAATTAAGAACAGGATATTCAGTTCTCTGAAGCACAGCATCAAAGAAAGCTGAGCATTTACCTCTAACAAACACATAAATGGAACTGCTTAAGCCGTCCTCGTTGGTGCACGTGTAATTGCCTGTATTGGTGGCCTCTGCTTTCTCCGTGATCCATTCATTGTGTGTTTTCTCACTCAGCTGACCCAGGGTCTCAAAAGTCCATTTGACAAATCCTGGATCGGTGCAGAGCAGCCTAATCTCGTCGCCAACACTGACTATTAACTCTGATTTTGCTGGATGGATGGATGGTGCAGACAGTCCCCCTGGACTCACAGATGGTTGAGAAGAGCCTGCCAAGAAAAATGGGAATTGTGTTGAGTATGGTTTTTTTTCCTTGGCGAAATAAAGCATCTCTTCCAATATTGATTTTCATCTTCTGTGTACAATAAAAATAGGACAAAGCTGCCCTGCTATTTATAGTCAGAAAGAGTTCTGTTTAAAGTTTAAGTTCCTCTAGAAAGTTAAGTTATTTTCTGCAACCCTCAATTAATCCTGAGGTAACACTTGGTGTTACAAGCCAAGACTTGCTGGATGCCAAGGCCTTCTCTGGGTCAAACATACAGCTGGGTCAAGTTTCCTTTCTGAATATGGGCCACTGCGATGATGCTAACACTCAGATACCCACCCGGCTTAACAACAACAAAAAACAAAATCCCACACTGTAAAAAAGCAACCATTGGCCTGTCACTCTTTTTGGCAAAATGCACATGACCATGACATAGCTTGGCTTTTTCTTAAAGCTTTGTGAATTCAGTTATTTCTATGTAGTTCTCCTTATATGGTGATAGTCATCAAAAGGAGAACTGTTTACGAGTTTCAAACAATAAGGCAGAAAATAAAAATGCCATTTTAAAGATCAGACCGCGAGATACTTCATGGCAAATGTTGGGTTGCAGGCTAATCAACCTAATGTCTAGATAAGTTTCTTTGGTAGTTTAAAGATGGAAACTTCAGACTCTGAACATGAAGCCTGAACCTTAGAAAATTCACAGCAGCCAATTCACTCATCCATTCATGCACCTGTTGCATAAATGCAGACATCTGTTCATTAATTGTGCTCTCATAATCTGCAGAAGCACCATGCCAGGTGCTGGGACAAAGTCCATGGAAGTGGTCCCTACAGGTGGGCCTAACTCCAGAGCTACAACACACTGCTCAAGTGTCAGAATAAGTGAAACATAGCTACAAGCTGAAGAAAAAGTAAGAAATGGGCTGGACCTTGACAATATCAAGAGGAAGCAGAAGAGAACACAGTGGAGACCATGTGAGGTAAGACTAAGCAGGCTAAGTAGGATGGAACCAGATCATCCAGAGCCCTGGACATCTGGTATACATACGTGGAATGTACCTCAGAGACCATGTAGAGTCCCCACAGGTTTTTCAGTAGATAAATGAGATACCAAACATCACCTCGATTCAAGGAGATCGGTGAAAAGCTCTGGTCCTCAGGGAGGCAAAAGTGATAAGGACCTACATTAAGGATATGAGACTCAAAAGGAAGATGAAATATACTGTCAGAGGAGAACACATTTATGGTTCTAGGTCAGTGATGGCGAACCTTTTGAGCTCAGCGTGTCAGCATTTTCAAAAACCCTAATTTAACTCTGGTGCCGTGTCACATATAGAAATTTTTTGATATGTGCAACCATAGTAAAACAAAGACTTATATTTTTGATATTTATTTTATATATTTAAATGCCATTTAACAAAGAAAAATCAACCAAAAAAGTGAGTTCGCGTGTCACCTCTGACACGCGTGTCATAGGTTCGCCATCACTGTTCTAGGTTATAGTGCAATTAAAGCACAAAAGGTTGAATCATGGGCGACCTGGATGAGGAAGAGAGAAGAAAAGGCCCCTGGGTGTGGTGGGCGAGGCAAGAGAAAATCAGAACACCCTGGGGGCGGGGGGGGGCTTTCATCACTTCTGCAGGTTCTTGGAGGAAATGGCTCCTGTGCAGAGTATGTGTGTCCCCTCCACACACATGCAAGGCTGGAGACAAGAACCGACCAGAGCTCTGAAGGAGGAGCTAAAGCCATCCAAGTCTAAGGTGGAGATAGGGGCTGGAGGGAGGCAAAGGCAGCAAGAGAAAGCCATACCAGGAAACCCTCTGCAAGTTCAGGATGGCTAGGGCAGGGAGATGGAGACAGTCAGAAAGGGACTGGGACAGGAGAGGCAAGAGACCTGTTCCCAGGCACTACCTGGGCAGTAGAAAGACTTCTCACTCAACGACTTGAAATGCAGGTGGTGGAAGCAGAGCAATAATGTGTAAAGTTAAAAGACCGGGGACAGATAATCAAGGAAAAGCGTTTGTGGAACAAAGAGAAACACTGAGTATCAATCTTAGAGAGCGCTTCCAGCTAAGAGGGTGTAGAAAAGAGTCAAGAGAGACAAAAAAAAAAAAAAAAAAAAAAAAAGACCACCAGAAAGAAAGGGGAAAGGCTAAAGATGCAAGGAAGGCAACAGATAAGAGGTTTCAAAGAAAAGGTGGGTCTAGGACAGATGCTGAACAAGATCAAAGGGAATCAACATGAACAAAAGTCCCTAAATTTGGTTAGACGAGACCACAGGAAATCCAAGAGTACAATTTCAGTTGAGTGGGAATTTGTTTGCTCCAAGGTTAAAGGCTGCAAGTACAGACCTCTCCTTGGAGAGCTACAGCAAGAGGAAGCAGAGAAGCAGGTCTGTAGTCAAAGGCTAAAACTGAAAGAACATCAAAGATCTGTTGACATTTGAAGGTAAAAAGTAAGATCCGTGAAGAGGGACCGACGGAATGTGCTCTAAAGGGCTGAAACTGTCCCCTGCAGGTGTCTACAGATGACCAGTCTCAAGTCCAGTTTGTTATCCAGACAAATATTTCATTTGGGTGCTTTTCAACCATGAGGTCAAGCAAAGTACACCCCACATCAGAAGACACTCAGCAGCCTTGATTTGTAGAAGATAGCAATAAGGTCAATTGTAATAAAAAATGTTATTAAGCATCAGCAACATGAGAAGTGCTATAGATTGTGTCAGAGGAAGAACACATTCATGGTTCTAGGTCAGGGGTGGGCAACCCCTGGCACGCGTGCCAAACATGGCACGCCAGTAACTTTTGCTGGCATGCAAAACCCTCTCTTATAATCTTCCATTTACAATTTTTTTCTTAATATCGACTTTTTTATTTTTCAGATAAATTCAGTGTAGGTGCATCTTAGGTAAATAAATAATTTTACATAACAAGTTATCTTAAAGACCATAGACATGGATTGATGAGAGGGGAAGAGCAATTTCTATGCCTCTGCCTTAACTCTCCCTGCCTTCCTAGATCCGACCAGTGTTTTGGTTTCATCCATATACGCTTGTGAATCTTTGCTCTCAGTGATGAATTTTGTTAAGTCTCGGAATAGGAGTAGCCTGACGGATGAAAGTAGTAGCTCGTGCATATCTCTGAAGGTCACGAAATATAAACCTGATGTAAAATCTCTGTCATCAGTGATGCAGCAGCCAAAGTCCCACTGATAATATCAAACGGAATCATAAAGTTTTCTGTCGGACTATCAGTGTACATGTATACATTAAAAAATAAATGTATTTTTCATTATCATATACTGTATTTTTGTCGCTCGAATGAATTTCATTATTTCTTCAAGGCTCTTCACATACGTACACCTTAAGAGATATCAAGTAGGCGTAACATGTTCTCAAAAAATTAGGGTTGGCACGCAGAAGAATTTTGAGTCAGAGATTTTGCTGGTTTTGGCACGCACTCACAAAAAGGTTGCCCACCCCTGTTCTAGGTTCTAGTGCAATTAAAAATACAAAAGGTTGAGTCATGGGTGACCTGGCTGAGGGAGAGAGAAGTAAAGGTCCCTGGGTGTGGTGGGCTAGGCAAGAGAAAAACAGAACACCCTGGGGGCAGGGGAGGGCTTTCATCACTTCTGCAGGTTCTTGGAGGAAATGGCTCCTGTGCAGAGTATGTGTGTCCCCTCCACACACATACAAGGCTGGAGACAAGAACGGACCGGAGCCCAGTAGGCTCCAACATCTAAATGGAACTGTCAGAATATGGAAATGAAGTGGTTGGGATTATTTTCAAAGTCATCCAGAGTATTAAATAATGAAAAGAGGCACAGCCATAAATAGAGACACTATCATTTCAATTATTTACCTCCCTTAAAATAAGAGTAGTTCCAAGTGATTATGAATGACATTGACAGTAAGTTCAATCCAAAAATTACCACAGAATTTATATCCCAAATATGTCAACCAATTCAATTTTCTCATGATTGAATCTTGAGGACATATGTAGATATTGCAATCCAGGCAAATACATATGGCTGCCTTCTGGGGACCTACCATGCCAATATAGGCAAGGCCTAGCTGTGCGACTTAAGGTAGGTCACTCAACATCTCTGTGTCCAAGTTTCCGCATCTGAAAAATGATGATAAAAATATCTTCATCTCCTGGGAATTATTATGGGAGCCAAAAGCAGTAAATACATGCAAGGAGCTTGACACAAGACTGAGCAGTTTTTGGTAAGTGCTAGCTGTTATAGAGAAGCAGTAAAGCATACTAGGTAAGAGCTTGGCTCTTGAATTAAGACTATCTAGATTTGCATCCTGGCTCTGCCACTAAGTATGTAATACTTGGGCAAGTTACTAATCAATTCTACCTCAGTTTTCTCATCTGTAAAGTAGGGGCAGTAATAGCACCTATTTCATACGGCTGTTACGTAAAGCACCCAGCGCTGTGCTTGGGCACGTAGAAAACACATGATTGATATTTGGCACAATTATTCTGAAAACAGAACCTCTTACTATCCCTCCAATCAGTCCTGACTTACTCACTTCCTATGGATGTGCACGGTTCCATCATTTCCCAAATGGATTCCTGCCTGACTTCCACCTTCCTTGGCAGCAAATCCCAGCAAGCTTTCCTTTGAAATGTCTAACACACATCCTTTCTACCCATGCTGCCCCACCCCATAGTAGCCATTCACGGACCTCCTCACAGAGAGATAACATCCTCTCCTATAAGGTCTCCATGACTCCAGCCCCTTGCTTACCCCACCCCCAACTCATTCTATTTCATAACCCTGAGATCAACCAGTTAAAAACACCACCTTTTCAACAACCCCACCCCAAGTCTCAAAAACCCTACCAGAGACAGCAGCTAACACTGACATCAGGTACAGCTTACAAAGCACTTTCTTGAAATTCGTTGCTAGCTGTTCCCTCTGGATCCAACCTGCCTCTCTAATAAGACAGACCCTTAGGATGCTGGCTGCGGATTCTGCAAACATTCCTTA